AGGTTTGGTCGGCCCGGATGTGCGCTGGTGTATGCGTGCGTGTGCTTGTGTGCGCAGGTGTAGAGGTGTGTGTGTGTGTGTGTGTGTGTGTGTGTGTGTCTGTGTGTGTCTGTGTGTGTGTGTCTGTGTGTGTCTCTGTGTGTGTGTGTCTGTGTGTGTCTGTGTGTGTGTGTGAGTGAGTGAGTGCGCGGGTGTCTGTGTACCTGTTTGAGATTGGCTATATGCATGTGTGTGTGTGTATACCTATATGCATGTTCATAAACAGATGTGTATAGAGAGAGAGAGAGAGGGAGAGCAAGCAAGAGAGAGAGAGAGAGATCTAAAAATATCTAAAAATATCCCACACTCGAACCAAACCTTTCACACCCCCCCGAAAGCCTCATAACATATGGGGGGCCAATAGGCCGGGGGGCCTGACCCGTCCCCTATGCCCTGGGGAAGAAGAAGAGAGAGCGGTATGTGTGCATGCGCCGTTTGTGCCTGCATGTGTGTGTGTGTGCAAACGTGCATGTTAGCACCTTGATATCTTGATGCGTACGAGCACAATATGTCTATGCTCGCGGCATTCCGCGTGTGCGCAAAGAGGCTTCAACAATTCGATAAATACCCATGCAACACACCAAGACACCGGTATGCTGAGTTTAAACCAGGGCGCAGACCTTCTTGGTAAGTCGTACAAGTGGATATGCATCGATGTTGAACGTTATGTCGGCACGTCCGATACGATACAGTAGAGCGATATACACCTTACAAAGGATGTCCGCTGACTCTTTGCAATTATTATAGCGTGGACGGATTCGTGCTTGACACCAGATGTATATATGTAATTCGTAGGTACACTTACACATGACAGGCATGTGCAGGATTGGCAGACGCACGGTGCGTGAACTGCGGCATGAACTATCCTCTGAAAGTTCAGTGTCTCTGTCGATTCGAGCTGCTCAAGTCGCACACGTGAGCCCAAATCTCCGCTTTGGAAGACGTAAGTAAGACCGATGTGATGTTGTGCTATGGTGGCATCACGCAAACACGATGAGTGCTGAGTCTTTGCCGAGATAGTTTTCTGTGTACATATATGCGCACCCTCCGAGATACATCGTACTTGGCACAAAAGTGCCGAGTGTGTATGGCCTTGCCTGCACTTGCTGTCCGACAGGTGATGCGAAGCCACAACAGGCATGTCCCGAGCTGGTTAAACATTAGGACCATGCTTGCATTCGAGCGGAGTCGAGTATAATGCTGTGCCTGGTGCAAGTGATCATGGAGCTCAGTGCCCAAGGCAGAGTATTGTACATCTGCCGCCGTGGTCAGACCTTGCTCTCCGTCATCAAGCGCAACGAACGATCCGGGGTCTACGAGGCCTCCGAAGCGACGACGATGGCCACCGAGGCCAGCTCAACTTTGGCACCAGCTGGTTTCAGCTAGAGCTTGCTAGATCCAACAAGACAGTCTAGAAGATGTGATTTGAAGTCGAGGAGTCTGCAGCATGTTGTAAAGGCACATCGCAAAATTCTTGATAAATGGAGCTGGGTGGAGGACGGGCAGCTCAGCATTGTGACACAGACCGACATGTCGGGCGGCACACCCGTTGGCGGGAAGGCCGGTGCTTTCCGTTACTCGCTTCAGATTGCTCTCTCCCTCTCGCTCGCGCTCTCTTTGCTTCTAATCTCTGTGTCTGCCTCCCGCTCTCCTCTGTCTGTGACATGATAAGCCATGCTGCCGCCAACACTGGCTTGAAGCAGGTCAGCAAGATCACTAGTCACTAGATTTTCTGGCCAGCAGGGTTCTTGATGAACCAGACTTTTCAGATCTTTGCAGTACCAAACATGGCTGCCAGGGATATTTGCAGCTGCCAGGGGCAGGAGGCAAACGAGGACGCTCGGCTGCAACTGCGGTGCCTGAGCAAAGCTTGTCTGCATGTCCAGAACTGTACAGTGCATGTAGCATGTCAAAACCGTGCAGGGCCCGGAATCAACGACATCTCATCCTCGCCACTGTGGAAGCGACGGCAACAAAAGCGGGGCCCCCAGACCCAGATTGCAGAGTCCCGTCCGAGGTCCTCTGGCCCAGGAGCCATGTACTTTTTCTCACTGTGGCCATGCGTGCAGCAACTGAGTGTGTGTCGGACGTGCATGCATGGATGGATGGTTTGGTTGGATGGATGAATGGATGGATGGCATGGATGGATGGATGCATGGATGGATGGTTGGGATGGATGACTGGATGGATGGATGAACGGATAAATGGATGGTGCTGTGCATAGTTTTCGCTGACGGCTTGTGGTTGGCAGCGAATCCGTGTGGCCGCACGCTCCATCCCATGTAAATTGCGATACATGGACACTTTTGGGCTCTCGAAAAGCTTGAATCGCAGTAGTACTTGAGGGAAAGATTTCGGGTGTCCTTCTGGATCCCGCAAGCCAAGTGGGGGAGGCGTAAGACTCGTGTTCCGGAAAAGCGCCAGTACTTCGCAAAAGCGGTTTCGTACTCGTCCTGGAGCGGAAGGTGATTCTGCTACGTGCCCTTTCTTTTACCTATGGTTCTATGTTTCTCTGTGAAATGCCTTTTTTGTGGTGATAGGTGATAGAGGTGACGTGCAAGCTCCGAGAGAGACACAGCCCTCTGGGCAATTAAGACTGGTTTGGCGAAGCCATGGCCGTTTCTCAATACCGCCGCATGGTCCTGATTGCGCCAGTATTTGGGGTACAGCATTTTTAAAATGTTGTGGTCTCCTCATGCTGTTGGTGGTCTCCTGGTGATCTGCTGGCAGTCTGTTGGGTCCCCTGGTGGTCTGCTGGTGCTCGCTTGTGGGCACTCCTGTGCTCTCTTGGTGGTCTCTTCATGGTCTCCTCTTGTCGCGGTGGTCGCTTGCTCTCTTGTCCGGGTGGTCTCCTGGTCTTGGTTGTTGTCGTCCTGGTCTTCCTCGTGGCAGTTCTCGTCGTGGGCGGCAACATGGCGTATACTCGGATAAAACACCGATGGTAACTAGTTGCGACCTGTGTTTTCTGAAGCATTTCAGGCCCGTTCACATGTGATAGTGATCGATCGCGACGCGCTGTCCTAACGGCATGCTTCTGTTATGATCCTTCACTGATCTTCACTTTTCCAGGGTCTGTTCGGTACCTCTGCTGGCAGCATGGTATAAGTGAGGCACGACTATATCTTCGCAGAACGTGGGAGAATGATGTGTGCAAAAGAGTATGCATGAATGAATGTATATGTATATACATATGCATGCATGCATGCATGCATGCATGCATGGATGGATGGATGGATGTATGTATGTATGTATGTATGTACATATACATACATATATATATATATGTATGAGGACTGTTTTTTTTCGTGCAGCTTGTGGCCGCCCCAGGACGAACGATTTCACCACGGCTTCGGACTCCGGCCTCTGCGTGCCGGCTCCATTGGCCGGCTTTGCTTTGCCAAACTTCCTAGGAGATGAAGAGCAAGATGTCATTCGGCCGCCGTCATCAAGGCGTGCATATCCTTCCAGAGCCCACACAACCATGAACTGACACGTTTTACGGCATGTCCTGGGAGACCTGCTTCGAGATCGGGGTCGGAGTTTCAAGCAGACCACAGGGGGGGGGAGCTCCAACTTAGAGTCTCAGCGGCAGGACATGTCTGCGAGTCCTTTTTTTTGCTGAGTCGGCTGAAGCAGCATCAGTGCCGTCTTCGCCATCCAGCGATACTTCAGATCCTCGGGCTGAGCCTTTGACAGTGATTCAAGTCTCTCACACGCCGACGTCAGTGCGAGTAACAAGGGCTTGCGTATCTCTTCGGATCCAGGTCGGGGCTCCGTCCATTTACTCCTGATTTTCGCACATCCTCCAAAGGACCGGATGTGCATACAAACGGTTCATACCCATCCACCTGGCAGCCCAGCCGTTGCAGCAGCGATGGAACGGATTACATGCCGCCCGAGCCCAATTCCCATCACTGTAGATGTCTCGAGGTGAGGGTAGCGGGTCTGCGAATGAATATGCAACCATCACAAAGCGGAATGAATAGGCTGCTACGCTTTGATATGGTATTCAGATAGCCGCAGATGGAAATGAGGCAAGACGAATCTGTTTCCCGCTGCTTGTTTCGCAGCTTGCGCTCCAGAGGACAAGTCTTTAGTGTCGCGAAGGTGACTCTCGTGTGCGCACACATGCGTTCCGAACCGCGACAGCTCCCTTCAAGTCGTGCAGGTCGACTCAGGCTCAGGAACTGAGCGCTCGCAACGGACTAACACATTCCCTGGCATAGATGCTGTTTCTGAGCCAGAGTTGACACGTCGTAGCTCGTGCCCGGCAGGTGGCGACGGCCGACCCCCTCATGCTGAAATGTAGACCTTTCATCCGACAGCGCTAGCTAGGTCCGCTGTCTCATGGCTGACGCTGCCAGCTCCGGGCTGTCTCCTAAGTGCCAAGGGCACGACAGCCGTGCATCTGTAGATAGCAAGGCCATGAAGCTACCGTGACACAACTATCCACTATCCTTACCGACATCACAGGAAGAAACCGTAAAACAAAAGTCGTCATACTATCAAAGACAACATGCTGTCAACCAGAAACGTCACAATCACAAGTGCTGCAACACCATCCGTGAGAAGGTCCGGGAGAGAGGCGACTGTCTATCATCCTTACCACCAGCGCAATAAAAACAAAGACATAACTGATTCAACAATGAGTGGTTGTGTTGGTCGAGATGTGGACGAGGAAACAGAATTCTGATGACAGCGACGACCAACATCGTCCATCGCAGCAGAACCAGCTTTCGAGTACCAGTAATTTGCAATTGCGAAAACAACACCAGCAGCAGCAGCAGCAGCATGGTCAGAGGGACTTGCCGGGCTCATTGACGCACCCGACAAGGTCCTCTGGCTGCCCTACCAGCAGGAACATACGAAACGTGCTGATACACAGACGCTCTCGGAACATTTGGAGGCTCCGAGTAGCATACATCAGTGAATAACCCCCCCCCCCCCCCC